CCTCAACAAATGCAAATTGTGACGAGTGAAGAAAGGTTAATTTTCATAGTGGGTGGCAATGGGACTGGAAAAACGCAGATTCTCCTGGAAAGAGCCTTGAATTTGGCGAATACAGGCGAAGTTTTGTTTGTCAATATCTCCGGAGGGCGTCTAACAAAGGAAATTCGACGTGTGATGAAAGGCGAAGGTGAGATGCTATCATGATTAACAAGTATATAAGTTTCAGATTCCCCATCAATTAATTATATCGTGTGATATCAGGTTGTCCGGAAAGTCAGTCCAACTGAACCTGAATTGCATGTGTGGATGATTTTGTTGAAGAACTTGAGTTTCACCATGACTCACCTCTTTTTCGCCTGATTGCATATTTTGCTTCGTACGAAAAAAAATTAGTTTCACAACCTATGTTTCAGAAATGTCGAACAACAAGCAACAAGCACTCAAAGTTGTTTACTCAAAAAGGGCTAAATGCCACCGAAATCACGAATTATTAATTCACGGACGCAACATGTGACTTAAAATATGCACCCCGAAAAGGCCGTCCATCGACCACATTACCGACGAAAACTTTGAAGCCATGGAACGTGTTGTGATGCATGATCAAGTCTCTGCCAGTCGTGTCAGCAATTTTGGCACCCAACGTCTGCAAACCTGGCTCATGCGCAAGCGATCGCTCTTGATGAATGGTTTTATGGGCTATGGATTTCGAAATTTCCAATTCGTCAGCTACACAGTAGACAGAGACTAGTCGATCACGCATCACAACACTTTACACAGCGACAATGTTTTCACCGGTGGTCGTAGTCGATGGGCGGCCTCTTCGGAGTGCATTTTTGAAGCCACGTGTTGGGTCCTTGAATTCAGCCACTCACTTTGCGATGATGCAGTACGATGGAGCAGAGTCCTTATAAGCATGTTCCGGTTTCTTATTGATCTCGGTGACATTTAGCCCTTTTCGAGTAAAAAAACGTTATGACTGCTCGATGCTCGGTTTTGGACATTCCTGAAACATAGGCAGACATGGTTACGGAAACGAATTTTTTCGTACAAAGGAAATGAAGCAATCAGGCTAAAGGAGGGTGAGTCATGGAAAAAAAAGCGTGTTCTAGACGATGGAGTAAACTAAAATTTTCACGCAAGCAGTTGGGGTTTAATTGCATGAATTTTCCGGACAGTCTGGGGTATGGTTGCCTGGGGTAAGTAGGACTCCATTTTTTTTAAAATAGTGCAACATTCATCTGGTGTAAGTGCTTGAAAAATGAAGAGAAAGACTCTGTCAAATTGGGCATATAAAATGACTATGTGCTTCTCCATGTTTCAAGTCAACATCGAAATTTTCACTTCATAGTTTCAGATATCATGACATTTCAAAATTGGTCAGCGGTTCCCACTTGCCCCAATGCTTGGCGACAAGTTGGACTCCCCATTTCCATGTGTATACAAAAGCGATGTAGTTCATACGACTTAATCATAACCATTAGTCTTGATCCTTTGAAATGCATATTAGTTTTCCTCAGGAAGCTCCTTGAGAAAGGTACAAGTTGTGCGCAACAAAATAGTTTTTGGAATATTTAAGGAACCTTCAAAATTTCTCCTTTTCCTATCAGCAAATTACGAAGTCATCACTAAACTTCACAGATACATAACGTCGTGGATTTTTTGCGTCGTTAGAGGAAAAGTCACGTGAAACACTCGCTTCTTACAAAAATTATTAATGAAAACAAGTTTAAACTCTAAATAAACTCTAGCACGCTGTTTTTTTTCCATTTTCAATGCGCATTCTGTTTTCACTTTGTGCTCATGAGCTTCCTTTGGCTTAATTTATTTATTATGGCAAACTTTTTTAAGTCTCGTAGGAACATATCGGCCCGTCTACAGTTCCCGTTTTGTAAAAGTGACGGCAGAAGGAGCTGTGATTTTTTAATTAAATCCTGAAAGTATTTTTTTTTTGCCATATCCTGCATTATCTACCACCACGTAGAGACAGAGTGACAAGTTTGCACATCCTTCATGTAAGAAACTCGCAATGGCCCCATCTTCGACACTCGAAGATGTGAGGAAATAGTAATGGTAAACAATGGTAGATATAAATTCATATGGAATGTGTGCAATCATTTCTGGTATTTCCTTGAGTCGGAACGACTTCGTTACTCCACTTCTGTGTTTGGGATCGTTGTCTTGCTGCAGTCGCCAGCGTCGACCGAACTGCCTTCTGGCGCTGCAGAGGAGGTGATCTTGAAGGATTTGAAAGTAGTAAGGGCCATTCTTAATTCTCTCGAACGAACATTAGCCGACCAGGCCCACGACAATGAAACCGCCCCACACCATAATCTTCTGTCTGTTCTTCAGGATACGCTCGACCTCGCCTCTTGGATTCTTTGACCATCGACAAATTGTGTTTCAGAATAATCGGTAGGAGGTCTCGTTGGTGAATACTGTTCAGCATCAATCGTCGTTCGTGTGTCGAATTGCCCACTAGACCCGCGCATATTTGTGCTTCTGTGCTGACATTGGCGTCGCATGGGGCAAAGTAACCCATCCGTTTGTAGCCCATCTGTTTGAGCTGGCGTTTTTCCGTTCATCGGGACACATGCCTTTTTTTCGGTCCTGAAGCAACTTATGCGACAGTTCTTTCGCTGTCGTCTCATGCTTTCGTCAAATCCACTAGCGGTGTGCCTTGTCGGCGGCAGTGATTTTGGGGGCCAACCACTACGGCGTCTGTTCTCCATAATGCCTTGTTCTTTAATCGTAGCAATATTGTACTTCAGAGTCCGAACGAGGATCTTCCTCAGATTCCAATTGTGGCAGAAGATGGATGGTCGGTGTTCCATAAGTGTAAAATAGTTGATCGCTTTGTTTTCGGCAAAGCATCAATAGAATTTCATTGTCGAGGCATTTTCTCCCAACGCAAGAATGTTTGTGACGATTTGCGTTTTTCACAGCTACTCGAGGGTTGTTCGAAAAATAACGAGACTGCCCCTGCAGACGGCCAGTCCCAGCACGTTTGGACTTGCTGCTGCCTTCGTTGACAGACTGCACGTTGGTGCATTTTTAAACCTGTTCGGGCGCTCCAGGTTTGCCTCAGTCTCGGCACAACAACGGTTATGTGCGGACGTCAAATCTGTACCCATCGTGGATTTGAAACTTGAACAACGGACTGCAATTAAATTTTGCGTGCCGTTGGGGAAGACAGCCACAGAGGCACATGAAATGATTATGACAGCTCATAAGAAGTCTGCCCTTTCACGCGCAAGGGTTTTTGAGCGGCACAATACGTTTCAAATTGGGATTGAAAGCATCGAGAGTGAATTTCGCTCGGTTGGGTCATCCACCTATAACTCCTCCTCGACCGAAAGAAGCAAAAGTTCACCCCAGTGCCGAGAAGGCCATGCACCTGATTTTCTTCGACAAGAAGGAAGTGGTATATGATCATTGTGTGCCAAAAGTGTGACTGGTGCGTACTATGCAGCTGTTCTCAAGAACATTTGGGGCGGAAAATTAAGGAGAAGAGGCCGGAACCCGCACGGACGGTACGGATCCTCTATCAGGACAATGCACCTGATCATTGTTCCAAAGTTTCCTAAGAGACTATCGAGAATTTGGGGATTGAAGTGATGAACAATCCATCTTATTCACCAGACATGGCTCCGTGTGACTTTTTTCTACTTCCTGGAGTCAAGGATGAGCTTCGAGGTCGTCATTTTCGGTATACGTGGTATAGGCCTTTTCTCAACTTCTAAAAAGTTCTCGAAAAATGTCTTCAGAAATTTACAGAGATATGCTTTCAGAAAGTTTGCTTATGCGAGGGGCAAGGACTTCTGCACCTAAGTGCATACCCATTTTCCCCAAGTTTTTGCGAGAGTATTTTCAATGTGAGAGGAGATAATTATGTTCAAAATCTTTAGTCTTTTTTGCCATGAGGGATATACTGTTTATATCGGATGAGGCAAAGAAAAACGCGCCATTCCTTGAGATATTATGGAGTTCATGAGATAAGAGACAGGAAGGCGGAAAATTTCTAGCATCAACTTCAACGTATGCGAGGTGTCCAGCAGAAGTTCGACCCGTTCAATAGAAGGAATGAACACATGGTGATTTTTTTTCTTTGTAAAGGAAAATGCATTTATTCAGCACTTTTCGACATACTCACCGCCGATGTCGATGCACTTGTTCAGGCAGTGCAGCCATCTTTCAAAACACTCCTGAAAATCCTCTTTTGTGAGCTCACAAAATGGCTGGCGTAACGCGGCTTGATCGGATGCGGAACTATGCCATCGACGAGTCTCCACGTCAAGCAACTGCTTCTCAGGATCGAGAGGTCTCAGGGCAGGTAGTTTGGACACGTCTGCCGCATGCCCCCTGAGAGGCTCCCAAGTGGAATCTTACAGGCCAAGATTACCGGCAAAAGACATGTCGGTATACCTCGTACAAGGTGGAGTGATTATGCAGCTCTGCTTTGTAAGGAGAGACTTGGCATCCCACCAGCTGAGTTTGAGTCTGTTGCCCAGGTTCGAGATCATTGGAGGACGCTCATGGGGATACACAAACCGCGACCCCGTTAAGTTGGGAAAAGCGGCTTTAAAATGTATGTTTGAATGCATGTATGACTTCAGTGTGAGAGGAGACATTTAGGTTAAAAGTCATTGAACTTTCTTTGCCTTATTTATTTGTGATGGTAGTCGGTCCCACTCACCCCTGGGGGGGGGGGGGGGTGCCCACTTGCCCCACATGCTCAATTTTGCTGGGCAAGTTGGACCCCCTCATGAATCGAGTATTAGCAGAAGAATACTTAGCTCAAACAATATGTTTGATAAAATAGTCTATGAGCCCTAAGATGAACATTTCTCGCAAAAACTCCCTTTGAAAATGTCTATATCTTGGTTCAAATAAGAACCATGCACGCACTCTTGTGTCAGTGCCACTTGTCACGATGGGGTATTGATCTCTGGCGTTTAAAAAATGCTTGGAAATTGTGAATTTGGATATACGTGGTCTGATCAATGGATGGTGAAGCATGGAGTTTATGGGGTAGGTCAGAAATTGCTGCACAGCGAAGACCTGCTGGTGATTCTGAAAGACAACTATCAGTCATGCTTTCAGCGGCGGAAGGAACACCGTAAAAATTGCGTTGATACCGAAGAGGACTCTTTCAAAGGAGATAACTATCAGTAGCTGGAACGAGTCACCATGGCGTCAGCAAAAATTAAGTCTCGGAACTTATTCATCAGATCACGTATTGTGCAAGATGTATTGTGCAAGAGAACTGCATGATTCCTATGCAAATAGAGACAACTTCCCCCTATCATCATCAGCTGAATAAAAGGGATTCTCATTTACTCCAGGCAACAATAATGGACATTTTGGTTTCTATTTGCAGATATCAAGGTATTGGGTGGCAGGGGAGAAAATATCCAAGAAGACTTGGACTTGTGTAACTTCCTAAAGAAGCAGGAAAAAGAGAGACACGTTTTGTTGGACGAAGTCCCCATTACTCTTGGCTTTCGAGGTCACCTAGATGAAGCGACTTTATCCGACTACTGGGGAGGGATAATCAGCAACCTGAAGAAAAATATCAAGAGCCTCACCCTCGCATTTCGTCCCCATGATTCCACCTACGCACGTGACATAGACCTGCGAGGCATGCAGATTCCAAATGTCCGCGTGGAAGTCTTGAGTGCCGTTCGAGGAAAAACACGCAATGCGACAAACTTGGTGATGGCTCTTGAGAGTTATCCATGCAGGAAATTCTTTTGTGATCAACCCAGTCTTAAGGACATGGATTTCGGCCAACCTAAGAACGATTTTCAGCCCAAATCATGTATCATCCCTGCGTGTCATGACATCCATGATATATGCCGGTTTCAAGCGACCTGTGAAGTTGTGAGATCTTCACATGCGATTTTCCCGTTCGTGCGGGATCATTTGGCGAAGCCAGAAAAGCCTATTTATATAGTAGTGGACAGTATCGAGCGTCGAAATCGTTTCGTGAACATCCTTTCAAGTATATACGACACTAGCGTCATTTTCATTGACAAGGATGGAACTTTCAGGAAGACCTCCAGTCTCAAAATCTCCCCCGTGGTGGTTGTGACTGCTGAGCAGTTCCTTGGATATCATGGAGACAACACCATCGTCATTTTGGACTTGCCCAGTTGCAAATGGTGCAATTATACCCGTATGGTGTCCTCGTGTGAGGAAAATATAATCATTGTTGGGGAGAAAGAAAGTCTTCAGAAGTATTACAATATCGGTATCAAACTGCAAGAAAACACAGCGAAAAATGAGGAAGGGCTGATGCAAGAAATTAAGAAGGCGGAGGATATGCAGAAGGTGGAGATGGCACACCTGGAGGAGAAGGTGTACCCTAGTACAAACTTTCCTTTCAATGTTGAATTCAAATTTATTCCCTTCGGTAAGTCTCCACAAAAATGCAAGATAATCCTTGGACCAGCTTCTTCAGGGAAAAGCATGATGTTGCTTGAAAGCATAAAACTGCTTTCAATCCATGGTCAGGACAGGTCACTCAATGGTCACACTGAGTGTGTCCTGATCCACTTAGGAAGTATATTGAGTTACGAAGTTTCACGAGGTTATTTTTGGAATCATCCTAAAAAACCAGACATTCTTCGATCCGATGCATTGACTTTACGCCAGATTATTCAGCATAATCATGTGAGGGAAATGAGGCTGCAGCATCCCGATTCAATCATCCACGTTCACGTCGACGATTATTCAATCCAAGCTATGGAGACAAAGGAGGAGATTCAGATATGGACTGAGGCACTAGAAGTCCTTGAGAAGGATCGCAATATGACTCTTACGATTGTTCTCCAGCCACATTCGACAGGCGCTCTATGTATTGATATGTATATGCTGACGTCCTTTTTACAGTCCCATCAAGGAGTGACGGTAATAAAACTTCCTATATCAAAATGGACCCTTTTCCGAAGTACGAGCCCGACATTTTTGTCGCACATTTCCAGGAATGAAACCAACATTCTCTTTGGACTAGAGGTAAGGAGCCTCCTCACTGCCTCCCGCCCAACTAGCATTCTTCATGGGCCCAAACCCAAGTACATTAAATATAAATGTACCAGGCCTCAGAGTGGAATGTTGTCGAAGGAGAGGGAACGATTTGAATCTGTTCTGTGTGTACAGGCCTGTTTCCACTCCATCTTAAACCAAAACATGAGTGGAAACTTCATGGTCGTCTTAGTATCAGACAAGACACTCATGGCGGCTCTGAAAGAAATCACTCCAGACGATGCCAGAAAAGTGCTGACGTTTTACCACCCAGGAAAATATCGAGGATGTACAGCCAATATCATCGTTACAGTGAATGTGGAAGACATTTGGCTGTTAGAAAGCGTCTCCAGAGCCAAAACCCACATTTTCATCATTGACACTTTACCAAGTCATCAACAGTTTTGGAATGCGATGGAAGAAGAGGGGCATTTGGAGGTCCAGGTAACGACAACCGACGATAACGTTATGGAAAAAGAGACTCTCTTTAGACTGGCTGGAGAAAAGGAGTTCCTTCAGGTGAGTCTGCTTTTCTTCTTTCACCAAAAGCCTTTGCAGATAGATTGGGCGTTATGTATGATTTCTAGAATATTACAAATTGATAAGGGAATGAAAAAATGCAACACTAAGAAAGATTTTCATACAATTTGCATAATAAAAATAATTATGAACCTCCTAAATATTGCATGCTGAAGCCAGCATATATATCCCATGTCCAATGCTACGGGGTGGACCATGAATATTCACACCAAAGTAAAGTTTGTATGTCCCATGCTAATGAGTTCTCATTTAATCAACTGAGTTTCCAAGAAAGAGCATGCGCAAATATTGATAGAAAAGGTACATGTAATATAAATATGTATGGCACATCCTGTACTAGAGTTCTTGGGAATAAATAAAGTCGTTTGCTTCTTTTCTGGCCATATATCGTAGTGCGTGTATGTTAAAGTCGTCATGACGTACTTTGGGTGCATTTTAAAAAGCACCTGATGAAAGAATGCTACAACCCCGGGCTGGAATAGAGTAGCTATGTAGTCATAGTTGCAGTGAAACGGGTTCTTCATTTCGATGTCAAGAAGGGACAACATCGGTGGTACTACTACGAGCAGACAAAAAATTTTCAATATATTTGGAAATGGGGCTTTCTATATAGCACAAAACATTTGTGTTTGTGAAACTACTCATTTTAGTGTAGGTTACCAAGTTTACTTGTAATACATACTTTTTTCCATCCCACGCATTTGTTACAAGGAATATCACATATTTGTGAAAAATGGGGAAAAAGAACATCGCACCATGATAAAGTACTTTGAGGAGAAAGGTTTAACTCCAGAGGTCCTTCATGATCTTGTCCAGAATTTATGTAATTATCCACCTTCGTATTCAATGGTGAAAGTGAGCAGCGAAATTCAAGTGTAGAGGATAGAATTGAAGATGATCCCAGAAGTGGACATCCTGTGACGGTAACTTCAGCCGGGAATATCGATGCTATCTATGACATGATCATGGCAAACCGCAGAATAACAAATCTGTGCATTGCTAAACGTTTGCAGATGTCATGTGAACAAGTTAAGTGAAATTTCTTGAAATTAAGGTTTCTGCAATGTAGGTGCTGCGAAATCTGAATGCGGATCAGGAGCGTGCGAGCGACAGAATGCCATAGCGAGACACGTTTTCTGAAATTTCAGAGCAATAGGTTGATAACCCACGGCATACATATGGGCACTGGGATCGAAAGTAATGACTTGGTGATCAATCACTTGTCTATTTTCATAAGAATACACGGAATGACTTGAACGAGAGGGTTCTGCACTGGCAACCAAGTCTGACTTTTCCATGCATTTTTCAATATTTCTCAATAGGTGGGTTTGTGACGGACTTCTTTCACAGATGCATGACAAACTGTTTCATTTGAGACCAATAAGCCTTCAAACCGAGCCACGTTGTCAAAATGAAGGAAAATAACGATTATTGAGGATGAATATAGTTTTCATAAAGCAAGAAACAGTTATTTGATGTTTTTTTATAATATAGAGTGAAGGATCTGAAGGAACGTGCAGGAACTGCAAGGCGTGTTCACATTTCGGAAGACTGCGGAGTTATGAAAGACGAGGAACATTGGACATCCGGGATCATCTGAAAATATACATGGGGGCAGATGACGAGCGACCGTTAAGGGACGCCGCAGGAGAATATGTAGCACTTCACTATCCGGAAGCCTATACGAAGGCGTATTCCCTTCCTGAGGGTTACATTTTGCCCAAGAGGAAATTCAACGACTTGAAGTCAAAGGCTCTCAAGGGTAGGGAGGATGTGGATATACCGATCGATCGGCTCTCCGTCGCTGCGGTGTTTGATATACTTAAAAATGCACTGAAGTGCGTCCCATCACTCACGGTCGCAGATTACGCCTTCACCGATACCTTGCTCAAGGGCGTTAAGCAGCAACAAAAAACGAGATTTATTAAGAACTTCGGAGTCACTGAGGAAGATCTGCCATCGGGTGATCATGATGTTTTCGGGACTGGAATATCTGGCAGCAGCATCATCGGACTTTTCTTTCAAATCAAGGGAACAATATCTGGAGTAAANTATGTAGCACTTCACTATCCGGAAGCCTATACGAAGGCGTATTCCCTTCCTGAGGGTTACATTTTGCCCAAGAGGAAATTCAACGACTTGAAGTCAAAGGCTCTCAAGGGTAGGGAGGATGTGGATATACCGATCGATCGGCTCTCCGTCGCTGCGGTGTTTGATATACTTAAAAATGCACTGAAGTGCGTCCCATCACTCACGGTCGCAGATTACGCCTTCACCGATACCTTGCTCAAGGGCGTTAAGCAGCAACAAAAAACGAGATTTATTAAGAACTTCGGAGTCACTGAGGAAGATCTGCCATCGGGTGATCATGATGTTTTCGGGACTGGAATATCTGGCAGCAGCATCATCGGACTTTTCTTTCAAGTCAAGGGAACAATATCTGGAGTAAACCCCAAGGGAATTCTTGATAACATGGCCATAGCAACAAAACAACTAGAAAAAGACCTCAACATTTTCCGTACGATGTGTGGTGAATTCCTGAATCCCATCGTGAAGTTAGCGGGATTTGTAGCTTTCCCCATGCTCTCCAGATCAGATATCCAAAAACGTATCAAGTGCATTAATTGTAGAACACGAATCCTCGTCTTTGAAGATCTTGCTAAACCGAGAAGTTTTAGGAGATTTTTAGCGAGACAAGGGATTGTGTTGGAGAAGTATTATCGGCACGATCCTGAATCCCATATCATGAAAACATTCAAGAATATATTCGACCTGTACGTTTGTGCTGCATCAGCTGTGGACCTACCACGTAATCTGCATCAACTGTTCAACAAGAACGAAGAACAAATGGAGAAGATGCTGGTGCTTCTCACTCCTCAACAGAGAAAATTGGTGATGACTAAATCGAAGTTCATATTCCTCTCTGGAGGAAGTGGAACTGGGAAGACCTTTGTCCTGAAGAAACGAGCATTGGAATTGGCGGCGGAAGGTGAAGTCTTGGTCATCAATATAGCCGGAGGACTCTTGACTGAGGAATTTCGACACGACTTCGAAGGTGAGACAACACTGTTCTAGGAGGAACAAATTTGCCAAATTCATTGCATTCATATTAAATTGTAAAAGGAGAACTGATGAGAAGCCATGTCACCCTCGACATTCTGGCTATTTCTAAGTGAAATATTGCATGCAAGCAAAATAGCTGCGTACATTTGAAATATGTAATCTTCGACTGAGTTCACTTTCATCAAAATTGACAATGTCAAGGAATGATATCTAACTTCGAATTGCACATTGCAAGAATTTTCGAATTACACAAACAAGGCTACCGCATTCTGGGTAAACAGGTATTATGTGATTAGAAAAACTGGAAACCAGGTACAGTCAACCAAATTAGGAAGTATGTAGTTGGCAGGAAATATTGCAACACGCCAGCACAACCTTCAAATCCTTTTTTTGTAAATCCCCATATTTTCTAATTTGAAATCACTGATAAACAGCACCTTTAATATAATCCACAACATTAAAACCATTTTCCCGGCTAAATATCCTTCATTGGCCCAAACAAGTGAAAATTACTAGTGGTTGGAGAAAACATGTGGATTTATCGACAAAAAGTATTTAAATGTTAATTTGAGTGGTGTCGTGAATGTGGTGTTGCAGATGGAGATTACATATAAGAGTTAATGATCCTTTATGTCGCCTCCATCAATGTGTCAGACTTTACTTTTATAATATTGGAAAGTTACATTGATGAATGCACGACTCTCAAGGTCAAAAAGAGGAAATTTTCAAGTGGTTTTCACGTGAGTTACTCCTAGAGGTCTTATCTACGAGAAAGGTCTATTTAAAAAAGTCATAATTAGTATCAAACGCAAATTTAAAATGGGCTTTCAAATGCTATTACTAACATTTCCCTCAGGTAAGGGATCTCAAAGTTACAATGGTATTCCAGGCACTTGTTGACTGCCCTTCGTGCTGTATATCCAAACATGCATTACTTTCAAAACACCCCGCGATCTATGAATTTCTTCAAGTGCAGCTTCCGCCAGAAAATGTATATTTATAGCATAATTTCTAGTATGTAAAGTTAGTAAATGACCAGCAATACGCTTTTATAATTCGATTGCCCTAAATACGAAACCATCGCTCTAGTTCAGTTTACCCGTTTTATTATGGGATCATGTGTGTTTTGCAGGGAAAAAAGGTATTGTTGTCATTGATGGAAGAACGGAAGGCTTGGAGGACTTTAAGAAATTTAAGGAATTCCTTATCGAGAAAGGAAAAGGGAAACACGTTCTTATTAATGAGGCAACCATCACGTTGGGATTCCAGGGTCCTCTCACACCAGAGGCCCTATCCTCCCACTGGGAGTGGATCGCTGAATCGCAGAATCACTTCAAATCCATCATTCTGGCTTTCAGACCTAATGACCAGTCCTACTCCAGAGACTTTCCCCTTCAGGAGCTTAAGCCAGGAGGTATACAGATTGAAGTTCTCAATCGTGTGAAGAGAAATAGTAGGTACATATCTCAGCTGTTCCTTGCTATTAGTGATTACTCTCGCCGGATCTTCATATCCCGGGAGAAGACTCTTCGAATGAACATTAAAGAACCCGAGGAGCCATCTCTCCCGATCCTATACCCTATTCCATCGTGCATCTCCCTTCACCCGAATGGATGTCGAGACGAGACGACCTGTCAGACCGTAAGGACTTGTCACATCATCAAATGCATACTAGAAGAATGCTCCTTGTCCCAGAACAAGTTGCCGCCCTTAATTGTGATAGACGAAGAGAGGAAAGCATCTTTCGTTCATTTTCTGACTGCTCTCTACCACTTAGTTCCTGCCCTCCTCGTGGAGGATGAACTTGAGTCTGAAAAAAATAATGAGAAGATTCAGCCTAAAAGAAAAGTAGAATTCCATTGTCCCTCTGCTACGAATGTCTCACCCGACCTTGTTGTCGTGACGGAAAGTGAAATCGCCGGATGCCATCTCAATAACGTCACAGTGATTGTGGACTTGCCTCACTCTAACTGGGGAAACTATATTCGTCTGATTGGAACTTCTGGGGAAAACAAGATTCTCTTGATTGAGGAAGAAGAATTAACAACTGGGAAATTCTCTCGGATTGTAAAGGAGATCTCTGGATGGAACATCAAAACCCCAAGCGACCGTCGAAAGGATCTTGCTCAATATCTAGAGCAGGCGTGGAACAGCGACTACAAGACGACTGCCCTCATAGAGGAAGGTGGATTTCATCCCGTGCCCTTCCCCCAAATGGAAATCAATTATGATGAGAGAAAAAAAGAGGACGGTGAACTCATTCATAATATCCTTAGTCACTGTCTCACTGGCATATTCGGATTCCCAAGTTCGGGAAAATCCCGGACGCTAGACGGGGTAATCAATCGCTTAGTTGAACTTGGAGAGCAAGTCTTCCTTCTTCATTGCGGAAGTGTGTTATCTCAAGAACTCTCTCGACAGAAATGGGGACATGAGGCAAATGTGGATATAGCTGATGCTAATGTAAATGAGATCACGTCGCTTCAGGACGTCATCGATTATGTAGAAATTGAGGAGGAAGGCAGAGAGAACAAGAAGAAAGATTTTCAAAAAGGGGGAGCAGAAGAAATTAAAGCTGAGAATAAAACGGAGAGGAAAAGGGTAAATAATGGCCGTAGTTACCAATTTCTGGTTGTTGATGATTGTCCGGTGTGGAAAAGAATGGAATATGAGATAGGCGATGCGGTGGAAAACTTAAAGGAGAAGAAAATGAAGCTCATCATCTCGTTCAAGCCACAATCTAAAAATGCGAAAAGAATCTCAGTACAAAGTATCATGGACGTCATGAATGATAATTCCGAATGCTCTGCATTGATGCTTACTTCCGCATATTCAGGCATCCATAAGAAACTTCTTGCCCACATACAGCAAAACGAAGCTTCATCAGGCTTGACCTTGCAAGCGAAGAGTTTGCAGACTTCATCAATGCCTGCAGCTATTGTCTGGGGTTCGAAGATTGTTTACTTGAACCATAAGTGCTCTGGCCGACATTGGGGGTATCTCTGCAATGAGGAGGAAAGATGTGAAAGCATTGAACCTGTTCTGCCCTCCCTTCTTTTGTTCGCCCTATCAAGAGCAGGGGGATGTGATATAACAGAGATGGAGCCCAATGCAACGGAAGGCGATGTGATTTACGTCCTATTTTCGGACGACGATCTATTGGCTTCCTTACAGAGTCAAGTTTACAAACGACTGGGAGAAAACCTTCGAACAAAATTCTTGCACTGCAGAGATTTTTGGGGGTGTGAGGCTTCTTCTGTCATCTCCGTGAATGTTGATGACAGTTTCCTGCTCGAAGTATTGTCACGCGGCCGTATTCAGCTCATTTTAGTGGACACCACCCCAAATCATAAAGATTTGTGGACAGCAATGACCGACGAAGGACGCACGGATGATTGTCCCGTGATATTCCCCGAATGGCCCAAAGACAACGTGATGGACCTGCAGACTCTTCTTCGAATGGAGGGTCGAGTGCATTTCCTACAGGTGAGTCAATTATATGCTTGCATATCTGCATACCTCACATTTTCCCTCCCCTCACCAACAGTTTTAGATGTGGAAGTTTCAGGGAAATCCCTATCATATTTTCAATTATTATATTATAATTTTGGAGACATCTTTTCCCCAAAGCGAGAGATAGGTGGTGTAGTGTTAGGGATGCAGGGTGAGTGCTGCGTTCCTTGCATCAAATTTCTCAGCTGGCTGAACGGCTCTCTTATTCCGGAGCTCAGCATTCGCTGCCACTTGCTGTTCAGCGGTCTAAGCGGCTCTACGCACATCTGCTTGCTGTTCATCACTGATTATAGCCATTACGGCTAACACCGACTTAGACACATGGCAGCGCAACTGCAGTGACAGACGTTGTTTTCGCACCAGACCAACCGTTTTTTTACCAGCAACAACTGCCTCATCGCCGTCCTGTGGGACGTCCTTCAACGTTTCTTCTTCGCGTTCAACCTCACCTCGCAAAAAGTGCCACCATTTTGATGGGAGGTACACCTCGTTCGCGATACATATGAAGAAGAGAATATTATTTTGACTTCATCAATCTTGAGAACTAAAATAAATCGACCATAACATGAAACGCAAACAGAAAACCATTGCATGGAAGCGATGGCGCGAACTGCCACGTCTGACGGGAAAAAAAATACTGAAAAAAACACCTCAGCAAGGAATGTATTGAAATGATGAACTTGCAGTCGATCAGTGAAAACGTGACACGCATTCAGTGAGTTGTCTCAAACAAAGGGTGTTACTAAGTATTAACCCTATGGAAATAATAGGATGAACCAAAGCCTATGGTTCAGACTGGTATAGCCCGAAGGACCTGGCGCTAAGTGAGTTGGATGGCGTAGCCTTTGGCCTAGAATAGCATAGCCCCATGGACTTGACTACAGCAAAATGTACAGCCGGATAGTACTCACTGCGCAAACGACTGTAGCGATTTGAAATGACACGGTGAGGCATAACATTCCAAATTCCGTGGTGTAATGATAGCACACCTGACCGGCAAGCAAGAGGTCCGGGTTCAATTCCTGGCCGCCCCCGGGCTTTCGACGCCTGAGTGCTGTGTTCCTTCCATCAAGTTGCCCAGCATGCTGCATGGCTCTCCTATTTGAGCTCAGCATTCGCTGCCTCTTGCTGTTCAGCCTTACGCTCCCTACGTGCAACTGGGTACTATTCATCACTCATTCCAGCCATTATGGCTAGTACCTCCTAAGCCATCGATTTAGGCACTTCGCACCGTAAATGCAGTGGCAAACGTTGTTTACGCGCCAGCACCAATCGTTGATGTACAGGGACTGCCTCATCGCCGTCCTGTTGAATCTCAGCATTTTTTTTCACGTTGAACGTCACCTCGCAAAAATCGCCACCATTTTGATGGGAGGAGCGGCCCGTTTGCGCGACGTATGAAACAAAGAACTTATGTAATTATTTTGATTTCATCATGAGAACTCAATAAAATTGGCCATGACATGAAACGCAAACAAAAATATTGCATGGAAGCGATGTCCCGAACATCCACGCCTGACCTAACGGAAAACAATTAAATACAGAAAAGAACACCTCAGCAAAGAATGTATTCATATTAGGAACTTGCAGCCGATCATTGAAAACGTGACACGCATTTAGTTATTACGACCCTTTGATTGACACAGCTACGTATGAAGCCTTTGGCTGACACTGATATAGCTCAATAGACCTGGCGCTAAAATCGTTGGATGGCCAAGCCTATGATCTATAATAGCATAGCCTCAAGAACCTGCGCTTATGAGGGGTGGATGGCCTAGCCCATGGCCTGAAGTGTTGGTGACCTCGCGCGAACTCTCGGGCTCTTCGAATTAAAGTATAAGATGGCCTGGAAAGGTGTGGCCTTGTAAGCCTGGCGCTTTAGGACTTGGATGGCCTGGCCTATGACCCAGAATGGCATTGCATCGTAGGCCCGCGCGGTGGGGGTGACAGCGACGACCACCACCACCGCAGCTTTTGGTGAACTTCCAGTCGATCAGTGAAAACGTGACACGTCTTCATTTAGTTGTGTCAAGCAAAGGGTGTTACTAAGTATGCAGTCTATGGCTCAGATTGATATTGCCCGATGGACCTGGCGCTAAGTGCGTTCAATGGCCAAGCCTTTGACATAGTATAGCATAAGCATAGCCCCATGACATAAGCATAGCCCCATAAGCATAGCCCTTTGACATAGTATAGCATAGCCCCATGGCCTAGCCTATGTAATGAAATGACAGTCCCGTAGGCCTCGCGCGTCGGGATGACAATCACCACAACTCTCGGGCTCTTTGAATTAAAGTATGTGATGGCTTGGAAAGGCGCACCCTTGTAGGCCTGGCCTTTGTCCCAGAATGGCATTGCATCGTAGGCCCGCACGTGGGGGTGACAGCCACGACTACCACAACTTTTGACCTCTTCGAATTACAGTGTTAGAATATCGGCCTGCACCCGTTACGCTGGCCGTTTAATAGGTAGAAATTTGAATCGTATATTGTGAGCATAGCGTCTCCTTGACAATACTCTATTAATTGCATTACTCATTCGGAACTGAACCGCTTCATTACATTTATACACATATAGATTACAGTAGACAGGGACCTTCTGTTCCTAAAAATCATCATGATATTCCAGCTGATTGCCGCAATTGACATTGCGATTTAACACGTTTTCATGAGACTTACGACAGCTTTGCTGATTTCGTCTTCCTAGCATATTCAATACTCTTGCATCACCTGTTAGCTCGTGGGCAATTAGCGATAGCGTATGGTACAGACATCAAGTATTCTGAAACAGTACGGACTATTTCGAAGGACTTGTTCGACGGTATAGAGGGAATATAGTGCGTGTGCGGCACGCTGCTAGCGACTAATTCCTGAAAAATACTGAGCTCAGCATTCGCTGCCTCTTGCTGTTCAACCTTACGCTCCCTACGTGCAACTGGGTACTGTTCATCAGTCATTCTAGCCATTATGGCTAGAACCTCCTAAAGCATCGATTTAGGCACTTCGCACCGCAACGGCAGTGGCAAACATTGTTTCCGCGCCAGCACCAATCGTTTATTATCTGCAGCGACTGCCTCATCGTCGTCCTGTGGGACCTCTTTCGACATTTTTTTACACGTTCAACCTCACCTCGCAAAAATCGCTACAATATTTGTTGGAGGAGCGGCCCGTTTGCGCGACGTATGAAACAAAATACGTAATTAATTTGATTTCATCAATCATGAAAACTCAAATTGGCCGACATAAAACGCAAACAGAAAACTATTGCATGGAAGCGATGTCCCGAACTGCCACGCCTGACCTAACGGAAAAAATTAGACTTTGACACAGATAAGTACGAAGCCTACGGCTCAGACTGATATAGCTTAATGGACCTGGCGTTAAAAGCGTTGGATGGCCAAGCCTATGGCCTAGAATAGCATAGCCTCAAGGACTTGGCGCATTGAGGGGTGGATGGTCTGGCCTATGGCATGAAGTGACATAGTCACGTAGGCCTCGCGCGCTGGGGTGACAACCACGACAACTCTCAGGCTCTTTGAATTAAAGTATATATGATGGCTTGGAAAGGCGCAGCCTTGTACGCCTGGCCTATGACCCAGAATGGCTTTGCATCCTAGGCCCGCGCGGTGGGGGTGACAGCCACGACCACCACCACCGCAGCTTTTGATCTCTTCGAATTAAAGTATAGGATTCCTCGTTTATGTTTGCCACGAGACTTCGACTCAGTTGAGGACCATTTCCTCTGCCATTCCCATCTTTTCATGCAATTCTTCATTAAAAGCATCCTGAATAAATGGCAGTGCCGTTTTCCTCTAGTTATAAATTATTTTAAGGCCGACACGTACCCAGGTGACCTATGACATCGTCGAGAATTTCGCGTTGAGGCACGACACAGCCTCCGTTCAAGAAGAGGAGATGGGAAAGATAATGTTGCAAAAAAACTCATATTTGGTCAGGGGTGATTATACTGGATCCAACATTAGGAAATGGATGTACAAAAAGAATTTCCAGACCAAGGACAGAATGAAGAGGGAGAGTGATGCAGATGTGACCCTGATCGGCGGCAGACCCGTCCGACCGGTTTTTTTCCCCTTGCCTTGCACCATAGGAATTAGTTTCAAGACATGAATATAGGAATATAGAATGATTATCAGGGATAGACCTGGCCCATGACTCATACGGGTGCTTCCTGTGTGCTCAAGGGGTTAAACACTTTTACATTTGCTTCTTATATTTACTTTATGTACATATTTATATCCGAATTTTTATCAGGTAAGATTGGGGTAAAACGTAAATGTGGAAACACAGCGGAGCAGCGAATCTCAACATGATTGTCTCAACTTGTATAATTGTCGTCTCCATTTCAGGCCTGGAAACCAGTCGAGGTAGCAGTGCATCAATATGAGGGGAATTCCATGTCTCTTGTTGTTTGCAATGAACCTTCTTACCAAGTACGTGCCTGGAAATGTAAGTTAAACCTCGTCCGTTCCCGAACTCCGCGCATTTGAAAAAATGTGGATATTCGTCTCCAGCATGTGGATTTCCGTGAAGAAGGGCATCTACGATATTCCAAATAAACGAAGGGTGGATGGTTTCAAGGAAGAATTGGGAAAATTCAAGGTTTAATTTTAATACCTTTTAGGGTTTTTTTCTGGCTCTTATGTTTTCGAGACATTGAAGAAATGGTTTTTGGCTGCTGAGGATTGCGAATTTCTTTCGCGAAGTAAGTAATTATTCATGGATTTTAACAGGAAGCCATTGTAATAAAAATGTAGTCTCGTATCTAGTCTTTCTTCGTTTTCCCAGGCAATCGAAAGCAGTCCTATCCGTGGACGGGAAAATGTTGGAGGCAACTTGGAAGAAATGATTTTAGATCTGCGGACAAAAACACAAGAACAAATCCAGCAACTGAAGTCTGAAAATGAACTCTTGCGGAATGACAAGGAAAGCCTCAGGGACGAATACAAGAAAATAAAGTATGACTTTGAGAACTTGAGGAAGGCTACTGTGAAGCTGAATGCTGACTACGAGAACATGAGAAAAGACCAGGAAAAACTAATGTCTAGCTTGGAGGAACATCTCCAGGAAAGAGACAAACTTAAACTTCAACTTAACACCACGGAAGGAAGACTCCAATATCTGGAGGCTATTAGCCTGCAAATAGGTGAGTGGAGACTTGATAAAGCCATTCGATCAGAATTGATGACGAAAGTCAGAATATGTACAGTGGATTCCGCTTCATTGGGCCATCGGTTAATGGGGGCAGCCGGTTTATGGGGATATTTTGTCAGGAACGGAACCATTTCTATGCAAGTGCATTTAAATTTCGCCGTATATTCCGGAAGAATATCCACTTTATTGGGGCAAGGTCGAGATGAACTCATGACGTCGGTCCCAGATGGGTTTTTCCGCCCACTCTCTCGCTCCTCTTCACCGTGACTTTTGTGATCAAGAGCTGGCCGATTGTTAAAGCAGAGACCATTGCAAACTGCTTCTGTGGATTTGGCTTTTATTCCGGACCAAGGGTGCCAGCGTCAGCCAATGAAGGGGCTCTGACCATTATTGATGTCATTAGCGGAGGGACCTTCGTCAACATCGACAAAATAGCACCACGCTTCGCCGAACACGATGACTTTGATGACGATAAAGTCGAGGACATCGTTGCCAAGGGGTCTTACTAAGGGAATGTCGCAGACAAGGAGCCAGAGACTTTGCCTAAGGTTACTCACGTAATAGGCCACGTAAGAGCTCTCGGTAGACTTCCTTCAGCCCTACTTAATTTAGCTGGGTTTGGATGATGGCGGACACGGTGTTCTTGACATTGATGCTTTGGAGAAGCTTTTTCGGGTATGAACCAAGCAACTATGGCCATATTTGATCGTAATTTTCTTTCTTTCACAAGTGAAGGGCATTCTTGTCTGGGTTTCTTGCTATACTATTAAGGAAGTTCGCTTTATTGGGGCAGCCGCTCAATTGGGGCATATTGACCTGGAACCGACGTGTCCCAATAAAGCGGAATCCACTGTACTTTGGTGCATGCCATAGATATTGTTGCTTTAGTATATGCAGCATACCCATTACTGCTTGTAATGTCTGGTTTACTGGAAATTGATTGTCATCACTGTCTCACCAGTTCATTGCGCGCAGTTGTTCTTCAAAGATGGCACTGACGATCTTGGGAGCATTCAGCGAAGGGCATCGTACGCTATTAAAATTTCCTAAATACACATGACTCCACAACATACTGATGACTTCGATTACAGTGGCTCTTGCACTGGGATGACGTATCTTCCTTTGAAGTGCATACGATTGGGACACAAGATCGTGCGAGGCAGGTTCGAGTGCTTAAAGACAACCAGTTCAACATTTTCCATAATGAGCGCCCTGGGACCCTTTGGCCAGTTAACGTAGATCACTGTCACGTGCTTCGCAGATATATAGCCAAGAGTCAAACTCGCGTCTTCTTGTAACACCGTTCTCGAATAGAGAGGGCATTCTGCTGTAACTCTTATATTTTGCCTTCTACAGGCAAGAACTCCGTTAATGTGTGCTGCTCCTTACAGGATGCTTATTTGATCCCTAACACCACCTTAGAACGAGTAATATGCCTGCTCATAGTGAACAGCGTAGACAGGGGTGACGGTAGCACTTGAGCCGATCGCAAATTTCAGTCAGTGATATGTCCTTACCTAAACTGCGATTTCTGAACGAAAAGCTTTAAAGGTACTAACTTTACTTATAAAGCCCTTTAACAGAAGCAAATATCTTCTTTCAACCGAGAACCGCTGGAGTATGATACTTTTATCTCAGCTCCCCGAACGTGTCAGACCTTAGCAGACCTAGGGGTGACACGGACAGGAGAATATTTCGTGGATCCTGACGGGGTGTTGATCGGCGAGGCACCCATCAAAGTGCTCTGTGACATGGAGACAGGTTGGTGAAATAATTTATTCGTCGGTCGTACATATACTTAAGTAGTAATGGTCAATTTGTTCCGGCTCATGCTCTCTCTATTATTTTTCTAGATCCAGTATCCACGATTGTCCTCCATGATTCGATGGGAAACACTGTGATAGATCGTTGTGCTAATCCTGGATGCTACAGTCGAAGCATAAGGTATGGTGCAACTATGAAACAGATGGTGGCATTGATCGAGCAATCAAAGTCGTGCGAGCAGCATATGAGAGTGAGTAGATCTTGTCTAAGGGCTTTGGAATTTTAACGTACTATGGGAAGATACAAATCCAACCCCTGGATAGAAATTACGCTTCATACAGTATTTGTTGTTGGGGACCTCAAGAAAGGGCATTGGAACCGGTTGCTGTCTCTCTCAGGTCACGCCCGGGGCCATCGTTTGAGGTCAAAGGTCACGATTGACATGCCTCTCTGAAAATCCGTATCTCCCAAACCCTTGGTCACAGAAACGTCAAATTTATGTATTTCTCCTTGGAACATACCATCCTAAATGAAAAAAAAATAAATGCGTTCACGTGGCTCTCGTTATCGAGACGCCATGGTGCCATAAAAAAAAAAAATTTTCCATTTTCAGATTCTTTTTTTTCGCTCTCATTCCTGATAGAAATTCTCTATCGACAAGAGCATGCTACACTTTTTGGAGACTATCCTGCTCTTTCGGTGGAGTTACGCATAGTTTCCTCAACCGTCCCCTCTCAAAGTTCGATGATCCACGCGAAAATGCCTATTTTTGGAAGTGACGAGGTTGACGGACATTGCTGGAAATCGAGGCCGAAATTCAAAAATTCCTTTTTAATAGATATCTGAAGAAGTCTCTCAACAGGCTTCGTGTGGATTTCCATGAGAATCCGTTCCTTTTTCTCGGAGCCTATCGCTTTTTGCTGTGGCCTATTTTTAAATTGGAGGCCATTTCTGTTATATTAATACTAGATCAATCAAGATTCATCGGTCGCAAATATTGGGTATTTGGTACCTATCGCATAGAGGGATGTTTCAGGGATCAAATGGCTCCAATATTGCCTTTCTTCTCTTAGTGGATAGAGAACGTGGGTCTTTAATTTCCGATTTGCATGACATTTTGAACACTCGCTCGCAGCTCTTCCTTGTTGGACCGCCCTCTTGACTCTCCCATGTTTTTAGCCTGCCCTGACACCCTGTCGCATGCATGCACTTCCCCATCGCCTATGCTTTTCATCTCCTCGCCAGTCTCACTGGCTCCTGGCGCTGACCCTTCCTCTGTCAAAAAAAGAGCCGCCGCACTTCCTACGCTAAGGAGAATGAAGGATTTCTGTGACATGTGTATTGTCGATAATAATAATTCTGCAGGCGGTACCGAATGTAAGACTTCAATGGTAACGATTTTTATGAGATTACTGTTTTTCCTAATTATGATAAATCGTGTAGATGATGTTCGCAAAGGAGAGTTTGTCAACTTAGCCCCCCCTTGAAACATATACCATAGAGTAGAATGGATTCTAAGCTCCAAACTAAAAGACTTTTCCTTCAAAGAATTCTGCTCGGTAAAATCTCTACAAAATCTCTGCCTTGCAACGGACTGGAGAGCCCTCTCCACTCTAACTACTGCCAGGAAAAACCAATCCCACCTTAGACCCGATAAAATATTGCCAGAATGTGATTTTTCGTCAAACGAAATGTCGAGATGTAGGGGGGAGAAGGATGGCGTCTGATGGAAAGGAGGTACATTATAGAGCAGGGGTGCCCAAAGTGGATGTTCCCTAAGGCACTTTTTGTGCTGGATGCGGCCCGCGGGCCGCTCTTTGGGCACCCCTGTTATAGAGGCTTTATCCTTTGCGAACATTTATCTCACTTAGATATTGTCAGAAATAGAAAAGTATACCTCTGGCAAGGGCAGACTCTGGACCGCAAATCTTGCTTAGGCAGAATTTTTCGTAAACCGAAACGTTTTCGAAGTTAACGAGAGAGAAGCGAGGCAGCCCTCCTCGGTCCATTGTTGAGTATGGGAGCACGTGGCATTTTCCTGAACTCAACAGCCAAACAGGACGCGTTAGCGTCGTCTACTCCTGTGCGAGACTTGTTCTCGGTATAATTAGTCATAAGTCCTTGCTAAACTTGCGGTTTGATAGCCATTTGACGGGTCAAATCAAAACAATTACAACTCGGAAACAGTTTGCCCCATTAAAACGAAAAAAAAAACTAAATCGAAAAATCGACGAAGCGATCGAATTTCAAACGAGGAATAAAGCTTCAGGGTGGATTTTTGAACAGAGAACTATCGAAATATGCTGCTTTATTTCCAGGAAATATCATGTATTTTCCCTGGAATAAAGCTGCATTTAGCCTATCAAGAGACAAGTTTTAAGGTGGGATTTTGACTGAAGTTTCCGGTTTCTGGTTCTCGAGTATAATTATGTATTTCTTAAGATCGTCCTTAAGCCTTTATCGTCAAAGGACTCATAATAAGCGACAACAGAGATGATCCATGCGACTTTAGAATACCTTTTGATTGAGACGAAAGTGAAAAATGGCTCTGGCGAATCATGAGCGAATTTGTTGATTATCCTCAGAACAGTAACGATTTGACTAAGAACGTGTCGAAATCATGAATGCAATCGGCCGCATTTCTCCTCCATGCTTTCTTCCTCGCCAACGACCACGAGCTGCTTTCCTCTACGGTTTAACCCACAATTTCAGATGACACCTATAATGAATCGTCTTTCTAGGTGAAACGGTTTCCGAACAGTGCGATTTATTTCTGTTATTGTGCCTCAAATTGGTCAGCAGACGACAAGGTAAACGGAAGTACAGTGGGTTTTCAACCAAGTCTACCTCGCATCGTTCCCAGGCGCAAGCATTCACATTCCCACTCATCCGGTCTGAACGCGCGTCAAAGAAATTGATTTACTTCCCTCCTCCCTTTCTACCTAGCCCTTTCCATATCTCGTAACCCCCCTTTGGTCTCCGACTCCGTTCCCAGGATAAACTTACCAAGTAATGCTCTCTATGGGTCTGGTCCCCCTTTCATCTGCATCTTCAAGTTTCGTATATGGGAAATCTGCTTTGAAATTTCGAAGGAAATTTCAATGAAGTTTTCTTACATTCTTACTTCATTGGAATCGTTGGAGATTTGAAAGATTTGCCCTCGTGACAAGGAAAGTGCGACTACCTTTGCCTGCGACGAAATAGTGCAATGATCTAAAGTGCATGGGACGTTTTGTTCGCGACGAATTTGGCTGCGACGAAAACTCCGGTAACCCCTCCTTTAAATTTAGTATGCGAGGTACTTCATGCTCGATCCATTTTTTTCGCCGAGCTGTAAAAAGTCTTCACGAGAGCAATGGACTTCGACCTGGGTTTATCGCTGTTTTCGTCACCAAAAAATGGGAGAAGTGTTATTTTTTATGAAGATGAAAAATGAAGGAGAAAGACAGATGTAATGAAAGCGAAAGATAAAAAATTTCCTGAAAAATAAAGGTTTCAAAAAGTCAGACCTTGAAAATCTTTTTCGTCATAGGTCAACTGACGTGGGGTTGGGGGAGGGAGGGTTACAAATACAGGTGCGTTTCCACGGCTGCCCCTATTTTATAAAAGCGTTCGCAGGAAGTGATAGTCGTCGACCAATACCCTCTTACGTACTGGTATGAATGCAATAAAAAATGCCACCCGAGAAAAATAAGTATTGCTTCTTTCCCATTTTTCGTCGGGAAATAAAACCGGAAGAATGACGGTCTCGCAATATTCTTTACTTCTTCGTTGGGAGGAAAGGGATGAAACCGGGTGCGTTACCATCCCTATTCATTAGAGATGTTGGATTCCTCGCGTGTGGAAATTTTCAAGTGTGGTCTGTGAACGCCGAGTTCTTTCAAGTGGAGGGCGGGTTGGAAAGAGATGGATTGGGAAGAAGGCGGTGAGCAGGACCATTTTTTTTATTAAAGAAATAGCGCAACAGAGATGTGCTGGCGCCTGGCGTCTCACACGCACAGGAAGGGAAGTCTATCACAGAGGCGGATATAGACATTTTTCTTAGGGGGGCGGTTCCCCACTTCCTTGCGAGCCCACCCCCCTCTTCCACCACTCCCAGCTCTCTGCAGTTTTTAATTCCTCGTCTGGGGTAAAACTTGAATATCTATGTCACTGTCCCGAATAAATATTAATGGGAGGGGCGGCCCCCCCCACCCCTCGATCCGCCCCTGGTCTACCATAGACAGGAGAGAAAAGGTGGTGAAAGAGGAAAAAGGATCACCCATTGTATAGTAATTTCAGGAACAATTGGGAAAAATCCGCTTGTCCGCATCCATGTTTTCATAAAAATTGCCTTCAAGAGAAAGACGACGGAGGGGGGAAGAGCGGCGACGCGACAAGAGAGGGGGGATCGAAAGCGGAGCATTTGATAAAAAAAAGAAAGAGAAACCGTCCTAGGGACAATAAACATATCATTAGAAATAGGTGGCAGTCGAGGTCGCGTCGGCCTCCCTCTTCTCCTACTGCTAACTCGCACACAATCACGCGCACGCACAAGTGGGTGTGACTCGGGAAGGAGGTTCAGTAAGAACTGCGAGCGAGTGTTCAAGATTTCAAGCAAATCGGAAATTCAAGCCACACGTTCTCTACCCCCTAAGAGAAGGTAAGCAATATTGGAGTCATTTGATCCCTGAAACATCCCTCTATGCGATAGGCACAAAAAAGCCAATATTTGCGACCGATGAACAGAGCAAATCGACCCGGTATGACAGAAATGGCCTCCATTTTCAAAATAGGCTACAGCAAAAAGCGATAGGCTCCGAGAAGGAACGGATTCTCATGCAAATTCACACGAAACTTGTTAAGAGACTTCTTAAGAGATCTATCAAAAATTAAATTTTGAATTTCCGCCTCGTTTTCCAGCAATGACCGTAAACCTCAAGACACTTCCAAAAAATAGGCATTTTCCGCATGGATCATCGAACTTTGAGAAAGGTCGCTTGAGGAAACTTTGCGCAACTCCGCCGAAAGATGGAGCAGGATAGCCTCCAAAAAGTGTAGCATGCTTTTGTCGATCGAGAAGTTATACGAGGAATGGCATCGAAAAAAAATCCGAAAACGGAAAATTTCTTTTTTATGGCGTCTCGATAAGGAGAGTTGCATAAATGGATATTTTTTTCATTTAGCGTGGTATGTCCCAAGGAGAAATGCGCAAATTTAACGTTTCTGCGACCAAGGGTTTGGGAGACACAGATTTTCAAAGAGAGGCATGTCAATCGTGACCTTTGACCTCAAACCATGGCTCCGGGCGTGACCTGGGAGAGTCAGCAACCGGCTCCAAGGCCTTTTCTTGAGCTCCCTTACAACAAATATGCAGCGGGCTCCAGGGGGCTCGATTTTTATCTCCCTATAGTTTCTTCATGTGCATTATCGTAAAGCAAAGGTTACCATTAGGAAATTTTCTGGAACATGTGATTCATTATTCGTCAAAACATTTCACGCTGAACAGCCGTATTACAAAAAAGATATATTTACTGTTCAGTGAATAGAAGATGAATAAAAAGTAATGATGAATTTTCTGTAATAGTTGAGGTCAGACATAATCGGAAAGTCGTGCCCTGAATTTTGAATTCGAATTGCGATTATTACAGAAGTATCATGAAGTGAAAGGACGCCAGGATGACCTTTAGTCTCAAATTTTGGCCGAATACATTTCACGATGTTGCCACAAAATGGTTACGCCTAGATTGAATGTGTAGGTAACATCCAGTAACAACCATTTGAGTTCGTCTGTTTTCTTTTTGTTGAGAGATGTTCAATTTTCAAGTGAGCATGCCTGCTATTCCGGTCACTGATGCCTGATAAACCATTCCACATTGTATAGATGCCGGCGTTTCACATTGAGCACTGTATCTCTTTTCAGTACGACTGTTTGAGTACGGCCCTCACAACTGGCAACATAAATTATGCCTGGTGGGTCGACCGTCACGGCGAACCTCAGTACTACTGGGACGGGTCAAAAGCAGGACAACACATATGCAACTGCGGTATCGTTGGCAACTGCAGTGACTTCAACCTCCCTTGCAATTGCGATGCGGAATTCCCCCAATGGGTATCAGACTCAGGAGCGATAACGAATGAAACAGCATTACCCATAACTAAGTTGCGTTTCGGGGGACAACAATTTGAGGCTCAGAAAGCGAATTACACATTGGGTGGATTGGCTTGCAAGGGCAAGACTCCGCCCCCGGACAATCCAGCAGAATCCTGTTCATCTCTTCGCCTAGCTGGAAACACTCATCCTGGTTATTACTTGATCAACCCAAAGAAAGGTCGCTTGGATGTTGTTATGTGTAGGATGGATTTGGAGGAGACCGACCCAAAGTTTCAGCTGGAGACCAGTGCCCGTATTGCAGGGGCGGGTTTTCTCCATGGCAAGATTACGCCTCTGGAATATCCAACACAATCCTGTTCATCTCTTCGCCAAGCTGGCAACGCTCATCCTGGTTACTACCTAATCAGCACCAAGAACCGCTTGAATGTTGTTATGTGTAGGATGGATTTGGAGGAGACCGACCCGAAGTTTCAGGTGGAAACTGGTGCCTATATTGCAGGTAAGGAGATCATTACAATTCCTTTGCAACATTAGGAAGAGGGTAGCGTACTTCATTACAGCGGAACCGAAGTCAACAAAGGCGAGGGCAATGGATCCCAACAGTGGAATCTTTACAGGATCCACGGCAGGTCCATATGCTTTTCATTTTCATTATTTGACTCTCTGCGGTAACACATGGTTCTTATTTAGAAAAAATTGAGTGTGGCTGGAAGAAGCGCGCTCTGTTGATTCCAATCTGCAAACGCCAGGTAAATTTATCCTATTATCCTTTCATGAGGGCGAAAAGTCAATGTCTTCCTGATTAACGAAGGGGAATATTGTCCCCTGACCTCACGTTTTGTGGGGTTTCTGTCATGCCCCATGTCAAAAAGAAAATGGATAGGTACTCTTTGTGGTTTGATAATTTGTGTGTAAGTGTAATTTTTGGCAGGATCCACCTCCAAAATAATTTTCTGTGTTCGTGACGTGGGAACTCGCAGGTCTTGTCTCTTCTTACTTTACACCGGTCCATTGGTCATTGAGACACTAGGAAACAGACGCTCATGATGGGTGGAGTCCGTTTCGCAACGCATATCCCAACGTAATGTTGCACGTTTTGAGCAGGTTCATCATTTTATATGATTTACGATCCAGAACAACAGAGCTGAGTTCGGCAGGTGGCCTACCGAGCTTCTCGTGACTAAGATTCGCGTTGTTTTCGGTCAGCCTTCCCGAGTGCTACGGACTTCTTTCTCGCCGGTCTCTTTAGATTGAGTGACTTTTTTGAGCTTCTCAGTCGGCATGCAGGAGACTTGTCCACACTAACGACCTTGGCATCCCTCGATTCCCATAAGTATCCAATTGACCTGGAAGCTGACACGAATGACGGAACTTCGCATTCTCTCGCGACGCGCAATGCGCCGCCTACTGCATGAACACACTTTCAGCTGCTTGCATCTACTATCTTTATTATTCTGGCCATTAGACGCAGTTTATGGCCTCATGTAAAAGTGGAGAGGTCTCAGAAAAACGAGGCGAGGTAATAGATCCCAGCAGCATAATTTTTTACAGCACCCATGGATAGCATATATGCTTTTCATTTTCATTCTGCGATTCCCGACACTTTGAAATCCTTTAGACACCAGGTCAATTAATCCTTCTGTATCTTGTGAATTCCATCGATGATGAAGACGAGGATGCGAAATAGAAACTCGTGACCAAATGACTAACAGGTATAAAATTGATGATGAAGGGGAAGGTGACAAAATTGACAACAGACCGGAATTTTCGCTTAAAAAATGACTGAAGCTTAACTGAATGTCTGGCAAAATAGTAGTTATTTTTATTCTGCTACTACTTTAACTGTAAATTCGTATTCATTTATGACAAGTACACCTTAAGTCCTCGTTCAGACCTTTATCACTTGACCCACCCTCGGGGGCTACCACTCCAGGGCGTCGGAGCTGTTGCTTGCGGGTTTGAAGCAGAAACTCACTATGTCGCGAGAGCACCACATGGAGATGATGTCCTACCTGGGAAGTTGGTTCCCTCCCACCGTACCACCTATGTTTCGTATGGGGGAAAGGAATATGCCAAGAGTCATTATCAAGTGAGTTGGGCTGCGACAAGGAATATACTGTACAGGGTGTCCCAAAGGTCCCTATCGATTTTGTTGAAATAAACTGAATTTTAAATAAATGGCTCAATGATATGATTACACGTTTATTTCTATGCAATATTCAATCATTAATTACTGTCTGAACTATTTTTAACTTTTCAGTCTTTCAAATTTCAGATACAAATCATTGATGATGAATGTACGGGAACGTGTTATGGTAGTAACTTGTTGCATCAGAGGAATGAAATGTGAGATTAGAGACAATTTCACAAGAAAATGTCAAAAGCCTAGACCTACAAAGCAATTCGTGAATTGGTGAAAAAATTCAAAAGGACTGGATCTGTGACAACAGCACAAGAAACGCCTTAGCGTATTGTAATATAGTATGGATTTGCATTTTGCCAATGCATAGACATTTCCAATGGAAACGCTACATTTATACCGTCGAAACATACGATCCTTATGTAAAACATTTCTCTTCGGTCAATCTAAGGAAAGAACTAGTTGCTCGCCTTCGCTCGCTGCAAGTACGCGTACAGGGTCATTTATAAATATAACTGCGTCACTGACGCTGAACAATTGGGAAAGTTCATATGACGTATGAGCTAGATCAGGTATGTTCAGTCTCATGCTTTCTAAATGTGGCCATACCTCTCCTTTAGTTATCCTGCATTTTCTTCAGGGATGAGTTTACTTGTTCGGGCTAATGCTGTGCTGCATTTTTTATTTTCCCGAAACAATTCCACAGAACTTCGCCCAGTGCGCAGAAAATTTGGTGACTTGAGCTCTCTGGATTTTGTTTATTTTTCTCATTTAAAATTCGTTACATTGACAATCAATGATCCTGATATTCTAAAAAAAAAAAAAATTTTCAAGGCAACTTTGCTAGTTTGAGACCCTCTATTTGCTCCTTACCCCTCTCCCCTGACTTATTATAAACTTCAGTCTTGATCTCACTGACCACCACCGCATCAGATTCACTCTTTATATTTATAACCATTATATATGTCCAGATCAACTTTGGGATGTTTTGATTCCGCATCTGTATAATGACGATTTCTCCTTCCTTAGTTTTTCACTGGTTCCCTTTTCATTGTTTTTCCTGTACGGGTAATAGGTTCTTGTGAGTGATGAGCAAGAGAAGTTAGTCTGGCTTCCGGGATCCAATGGGTCAATCCCTTCTGGGGCCTTGCAGGGTGGAATTAACGAATGGAGTGAGCCAGTGTACATTGGGAGAAGCACTTGTCTTCTTAAAGCAAGAAAGGGTGTGCTATGAAATACTGTAGTGTACTTGACACATGACATCTTCAGCAGTCAAAAAGAATAATATTACCAGACAAAACCACACAGAAGTCTTGAGTTCAACCAACTGTGTGAAACATTCCCGCCAGCTGTGAAAATGCCAGAGCTTTTCAGTTCTTATGGTTTCCATAGTTTTTTTAAATGATATATTCTATTTTGAGAACACAAATTGAAGCACATTACCAATCACAAAGTCTGATGGTTAGTTTGAACGTGCATTCAGGTTCACAGCTTACAGCCACATTGATGTCATCAAATCATTCTCCAAATATTGCCATTGTATGCCATACTTTTTGCCTATGTTCTGTGTTGGTGCCATTTCCTGTCAATAGTACTGTTTTCTGAATTCAACCAATGTGTTTCTGTATTTATTCATTTTACTTAGGAGATGAAACAAAGCTACGAAAGACAAAACGTGTGGAAAAAAAACCTGTCCTGTGTAGCTCTCAGAAGTTTGATCCATGATTTCAAGTGTTGGACTGTGGATCTAGTGGCAATCTGAGAGCAATCAAAATATGTTCGGAAATGCCTTATGCATCTCTGAAAAATGGTCATAAGATGGAACTTTGAGCATTTTTTATATCATACCTCTGGGGCATACATAGCGCACCCGTTCGAATCGCGCGTTGTCGGACCAACGCGGTACCGCCAAGCACTCACGGCGGGAAGCGCGAATGATGATCGGCCAACCCGGAACCCCAGGGGCGACTCTGTCCTTTTCATGGAGGGCGAAGGAGGTAAAATGCCGCCCACCTGCCCTGTTCCTATCGCGTTTCGCTGTCAGACCTGTGCAGTGCTCTCCCATCGTGACCCGAGAAGCCATCAAGGGGCCTATTCCACAAAACATTTACAAGCTACAAATCGCAAGCGGAGTGGCTGTATTTACAAGTATTTGTATTTTCTGTCCCACGGAGTTTGCGCTAGTGCTTGTAAAATCGAAAATTACAAGGCACTTGTAACTCATATCACAAGTTCTGAGTGCAGTCCAGAGTTCTCTATCGAGTAGCACTTATGGAATGATGCCCAAAGAGGTTTCATCAATGAAAGCGTATGGATATCTCATATAACAAGGAGCTGGATATGCAGAATCGAATATGCCATGTCTTGGCCTGAAGGTCAGAGCCAACATATTCCAGATAGGGTGCAATCGAATATGCCCAACAAAGTGGAGACGCTGTTCGAGTCCCTTGGCACTACACCAGAGTCCACACTTACATTCAAGGTTAATTCTATCGTAGAGGTCTCCAATGAAAGTTGCCATGATCCTTCTTTAGCCGGCAATGAGCCCAACAGGAAAATCGATTGCGCTAGGCACAGGAGTGCAGAAAATACATTTACCGAGCTTGAAAGTCTTGTAGGAATTAGAGCTACGTCTACTTGTAAAACATCTGGCTCTGTGGAACAGAATCCATTTTCCCAAACTCAATTCGCTCGTAAATGGATGAACTTGTAAATCTTCCTTGTACAATTTTCTTTCGTGGAACAGGAACTTGATTCTACAAGTGATAGACTTGTAACTTGCAGCTTGTAAATCTTCTGTGGAATGGGCCCCAGGTGGTTCGCATTTGAGATTGCAATACGTTCTGGTGCGCAGTGAGATATTGGGAGAAACGATGGAAGACTCGTGTCAGATGTAGAATGATATAATTTATTAATATAATATGATTTAATGATAATAACGGCCAGCAGGACAGGAAAGAATATGAACCGTGGAAATGTTTTCCTTCTTGCGCTCGTTCCGATTCACTCTCCGAGTCGCCGTCTCGTCCCGGGGTCACGAAGATCATGTTCGTTCGTCGGTTCATCGTGCAGTCGATCTCCATAGGCGATCTGGCCTCGACGTGGGACGGACCGCACGAACCCGACGCGAGACAGGTAACGTCGTCGACAGCTCGAATCGTCGCCGGGTCTTTCGCGGGTCTGGTCGACTTCCTCGGTCGCCTCTTCGCTTCGCCCCGTGGAGGCTCGACGGTGTAAAATATAGGGGCCTCGCGATCAGACGCGCCCATCTCTGTCGATCGGCTCATCCACTGCATGCGTCCGAGGGCAGTTTTTTTATTATCGGGTCGATCAAGACGGCCTTGGGATTCCCGCGAAGGAGTCGCCGATCTCTTTTTCATCCGTTCTCACCGTGTGCTCGCGGTGGGAATCTTCTCCTTCGGCCCGTCGATGCGGGCGGCGATGCTTCGGGATCTGCCGAAGGAGTCATATTCTTCTCGAATGGCGATCGATCCGAATGCAACGGTTAAATTGCGAGTCTCGCCGAGGGCATCTCGTGGGTGTCGAACCTTCGAAAGAGGAAAAAAAAAATCATTTTACTGGTAAAATCGAATAGCCCTTCTTCGGCGAGAATCTTTCTGACAGAAAAAAAAAGGACTCGCCACGTCTTCGTCCAACCGTATGATGCTCCATCCGTCGTTGCGAATTTCTTGGATCTCCCTCGAGTCACCGATTCACTATTTGTTTTAAATAAATTATTTTAAAAATGTCATCTGATGTGGCGAAAAGCACGTACGAATAAAAAGTTTAAGCCTAAGGGGAACGGAAGGAGCCGAAACCGAGCGCCGATTTAATTACCCAATATGAAAAAATGAATGGGAATTTTAACACACCGTAAAGTGTTTCATGCAATCTTCTCTTTAAGGTCCGTTTTCTCCTTCAAATGACGGAGGAGTGGGTCCAGCGTCCAAAGAACTAATCTTGACAAACTCGAACGGTTCCCCCTTTGTTCTCGGAGCGAGTGGCTGCCCGCGGCCTGCAAACTCGGGCGCGACCGTGTCCGCCGCGACTGTGTCTCTTTCGCGGATTTGCATGCCGTCGAATTGTCGAGCTGCTTTTGGAAGGGTTTTAACTAGGGCTGTCACGATAGCAGTTTTCAAAACATATATGCATCGGCCTGAACTATCGATAGTGTATCGATGCATCGGGGGCGGGGGGGGGGGGCAGAGGATTCCATCTTTTCTCGCCGCGATCGGAGTTTCAGGTAGATAACTTATTGAGTGACCCTCGTATATCATAATTAGGGCTGTCACGATAGCAGTTTTCAAAACATCGATGCATCGGCCTGAACTATCGATTGTGTATCGATGCATCGGGGGGGGGGGGCCGGGGGATTCCATCTTTTCTCGCCGCGATCGGAGCGCGGACCTCTATCCGGCTTCCATTATCTCACGCTTGTGATCGGGGGTGCAGGGGGAATGTGTGACCTTCGCAAAGACTAATGAAACCTACCATGCCTCCAACTATCGAAGATGACATCCATTCGTCGATGAATGCATCAGGACAGTTTTCCTAATTTTCTTCTATTGCCGTTGAGAATCAGCTGCCAAGCCCCGTTCACATCATTTTTTTCCCTCTTTTTCTTCGTTCTACAATGTCTTTAGACATCGGCACCACCAGATAGGAAACCTGCTGATGGTGCCATACCGGCGGTTGCCGAAACATCGGCCCTAGAATAAGCAACGTCCATGTAAAAATTTCACTTTGAGTTCACCTTAAGTAGAGAAAAATGCCCCAAGACAAGTTAAAAATTAAGAAAGTTAAGCCCGCATACTAAAGTGATAGACAGGAATATAGAGAGGGGATTAACCAATGTAGGTTTCGAAATCAAGGGAGTATAAGAACAGTCCACTTCCGCAGCATGCACCTGATGAGATAGAACCGAAGACAGAAACAGAAGAAAAAAAAGTCTCGGTCTTCACCCCTCGCCTTTCCCACTTCCTGTCTTCGATCCGACTTTTTTTTCCCTTCCCGTCTTTCTTATAGTCAGTCCTAGCATTTCCGAAATTTGATTGTGATAAGAAATCGCAAGCCCCTGCGCGTCACGCCGCTTCTTCCTTTCCCCGCCCGGACGGACTGAATTGTACTGTACTCGCCTCAATCCAATGGGACATTTCCCCTTTAAAATACTTTGTCGATGCATCGCGATAGTCGAAAAAACTATCGATATATCCAACTATCGATAGTGGTATCGATGCATCGATCTATCGTGACAGCCCTAATCATAATGTACGATTGGAAGTCCTTTTTTCCCCTTAGCCATGTCCAAGGAAAGCAACAAAAAGGAAACCTTCACTGTAAGTGGGGGGTTCATCTTAAACTGGTGGACACGTGAATGAATCGAGAAATATGTATCCAATGGAAGTGAAATCATAACTTCTTCGCATAGTCCATGACCACTAGCACAAACGTTGTTCGTTTAGACAAGGTGCGTAAATCTGCAACACGAAGAGAATTAGGTTGGTTCAGCCATTCAAACACCTCGTCTGGAAACTCCTCATCTGTGTCGATACACCTGATTAGTAGTGCTTCCTAATGCTTTGACAATTGAAATTCTATTGATACAGGGACGTGGATGTCTGGGTACCATATAGAAACTTAGCTCTATGGGAGAATGCACTATGTCAAGCTGAATTACTAACTCCAAACCGCACATTTTCGTTGCTCCCACAACACCGGATAGAGATGTTTGCACTCATTTTTTGCTAAACGGCCGGAAATACCCTTAGGCTCTTGTTACATGTTCAACACCTTTCGTTTTGAAAAACCAATGTTTCACCCATTTCAGAGTAGCAATGTCACCCAATATTCAATGGAGCTCCAAAAAGTATTATTCTACCTAGTTCTCCAACCCTTTCCTTTTCAACGCTCCTTAACTCCTGCTTTACCTTCAGTGCTAAACAACATTTAATAACGGTCGGTGACCTATCTTACGAAAAGGACGGATAGGAATCCTAAATATTTTTTAAATGGAAAGCATATAGGATACCTAGACGAACCTATAGGATCTCATGGGCATTCTATTCGATCCTATACCTGTACGTATCTTGTAAGATCCTAATGGTAACCCATAGAATTCCATGGGATCTTATAGGATCTCCTGGGAAACCTATATGATACTAACGATTTCCTATAGGATTCCTATACATTCCCATACTTATGCCCAACTCTAAAACGCCAAGAAATCGTATTTTGGCCTGAAAGGAGAGACTTGGAGAGCATTCAGCAACCTGCTCTCAAATAGGCTTATGTGACTCAATAACCCGTTATGGGCGTGTGCTGTTGAAACTCCATAACAGCTGAACCCGTTGCTGTTGAAAATTCCTGATCTTAACGAAATCATTTTGCTGCTTGTGTAAAATGTATTCAAATCTGGAAGATAACTTGAGTAGTAACTCACAATTTTTGTGTTTCCAGGTTACCAAGTCAACCAAATCATGTTACATCCCTTCTCAAGGTCGAGAATACAAATACTATACCTATGAAGTCTTGGCCGTGAAAACTGGGAGATAATCAACTCTGCCCTTTCACAGAACAGACATTTCCCCTAATTAATTATCAGAACTTTCCATATTGCTTTCAGGTGCCACAGTGCGACTTGTGCAACACGAGTGCTTCAAACTATGAGTAACAAAACTCTTTTAATTGTGTGACGTTATTTGACGGCCTGAGCCCAACTCCGCCGA